TTATGGTCCAAATCCCAAGAAGAACTGATTATTGAATTCCATTAACTTCAATGGGGAGTTGCAGCAGTTCAGCAGATGCTATGCACTTATTAGGATTTGGTCTGATATTAATACTCATGGTGAGAAACTGGTCAGACCAGATGATCATAATAATTCTTTCTGACTTCAAAAATCTGTGAAAGTACTCACCTGGACAGTTCCATTCACTTTGGTGAGACTAAATGTATGAGGAATTGTTCATCAACAGGAGTGAAAAGCTCACAATCTGGCCCATAAAAAGATAGACGAGGGACTGGGATATCTGGACTCCATCATTTACAGATGTTTCAGTCTCATTTCTGGAAAACAATTGCTGCACATTTTATGGTTGCAGAAATTTTATCTTTTGTCTGAATTTCCTATAATTGTTGCCAAATGAAAATTCTACCACTTTTGTACTGATGCTTATTTTGAAAGGTATTTTCCCACTTATTTATGCATACCTACAAGTGGTCTTCATTTGTGATTTTGATTGGTTTCCACCTACATAAACCCTTTAATGATTTCCCACGATTATTTGTAACTGAGTTGGCATACGGCCAGATAATGAACATATTAATCAGTTCCATGTCTAGAAATTTCTTGCAAATGTTTGTTTAGGGGTTTTATTTTCAAAAAAATATATAGGTAGGGTGACCAGATGTCCTGATAAAATCAGGACTGTCCCGATATTTAACCCTTTGTCCCACATCCCGATCAATGTACGATCGGGACGCCACTTGTCCCGATATTCAGGTAAGGAGGCGAGCGGGAGGGAGGTGCTGACCCCGTGGGTGCTCCGGGGCTGAGCACCCACGGGGAAAAACTGCAGCCAAGCTCCCCGCTCCTCCTCCCCCCAGCACGCCACGTCCCCGCTCCTTCCCCCCTCCAATGCTTCCCACCGCCTAACAGCTGTTTGGCGGCGCTTAGCACTTTCCAGGAGGGAAGGGGGAGGAGCGAGTACGCGGCACGCTCAGGGGAGGAGGTTGGAAAGAGGCAGGGCAAGGGCGGGGATTTGGGTGAACGGGGTGGAACGGGGGCGGGACGAGGGTAGGACAGGGGCGGGAAGAGGCAGGGGGTGGATGAACACCCACCGGGGGGGTGAAGAGGCGAGCGGCAGGCGAGTGAGCGGGCGGGGAGGCGAGCAATGGGTGGGGGATTGAAGAGGGACGCAGCAAGCCAGCGGCAGGCCGGGGAATGAGGAAAGGCGTGGTGGTGGGGGCCAAGCGGGGAGGGGGCAGGACCTGGGGCAGAATGGGGGCGGAGCCTGGGAGGAGCGGGGGTGGACTGTGGGCGGGGCTGATGGCACCCCAATGTGTCCCGATATTTTACTGTGGTGATCTGGTCACCCTATATATAGGGTATGCAAACCCTCACATTCAGCATCATGTGACATGAGAGTCAAGGATGAAGATATTATCTAAAGATGTTAAAAAATTCTACACCTTCTAAAGTATCCGAACATTGGAAATAAATCAGGAAATGAACAGTTAAAGGATCAAGCTAGCCCCTTACTGCCATGTATCTTGATTACCCCATGGGACTCAGGGCAGGTCGCCACTTAAAAAGCTGCTATAACACTTTAGTGAAGACGCTCCTACGCAAACAGGACAGGAGAGCTTCTCCCATCAGTGTAGTTAAGCTACTTCCGTTTTCAGGCCGCTGAGCAACATAGTTTTACTGAAGTGTGTAGTGTAGACCAGCCCTCAGTGTTATTCAAAGGAAAACATCCCGCAGAACAGATTGCAGTCTTGCCAACCCATCGTTTCATCAAAAGTCTCATGTGATTTTCTGAAAGCCTCAGCAGCTGGAATCAAGAGTTTGCAGGTGAAGCTCAGCACTAGTTAATAATAAAAATAAAATAATAATAATAATAATAAAATTTAGCCTTTGTGGTGGCAGAGAAAAGGTTGAAAATGCAAGGTGAGCGTACCCTAAGGATTCAGAAACCAGAAAAGCAACCCTGTATGTATTTCTCCTTTTAATCCCACAATTTTTAAACCAGGCTCTTGATTTTGGGGCCTGAATAAGGATTTTTAAGCACTTGAGGTTCCCAATACTGCAGGTGGAAGTTGAAACCTGCAGGACTGACTCTCCTAGACTAAATCCGCCCCTGTATCCAACTTTCCAGCCGTCTGTCTCTGCATTCCCGCCAGCTACCTTGCATTAGTATTTTGTACCTCCAGGCCAGCCTCCCCCAGGGCCCCGCCAGGAGAGTCAGGAGAGCTCGCGGCTCCCCCTGCAGAGCGCCGGGCCCGCCTTCCCGGGCCGGAGGCGGCTCCCACGGCCCCGCTCCTCCCCGCTCGCTGCGCCGTATAAACGCGCCGCTCGTCAGCGCCTGGCCCGGGCCCGGCGCTGCGGGTTTCGTGGCGCTGCTGAGCCTCAGGGCCGAGCGGGGGAGATCCCGGGCCTCCCCGCAGCCGCCGCGGCCATGGTGCTGAACCCGGTGATCGGGAAGCTGGTCAGCAAGAGGGTGGTGCTGGCCAGCGCCTCCCCCCGCCGGCAGGAGATCCTCACCAACGTGGTGAGTCCGGGGCAGCGCCGCCTGGGCCCCCTGCAGTTAGTGGGCAATAGAGGGGTGAGGTCACTCGGAGTATGTCTACACTGCAAAGTCTGCACTGCCACCGGTGCTGGCGCTGGGCAGGGGCTGTTTCATTGCCTGGGGCTGCACCCTGTGAGGTGGGAGAGTGCTAGAGCTGCAGCCTGGAAGTCTCCACAGCAATTGACCAGCCCCTGTCAGCTGCCCAGTCCCTGTTGTCTAATTGCGGTGGAGACATACACTTTCCAATGCTCTTACAAGGATGCCCAGCCCTGCTTTGTCTTAGCTCCCACATCGCTCCCTGGAAATGCTCCTGCAGCAGCTGGGCTCCTTTGTGCGCAAACAGGAGAGTAGTTTAACAGTCTGCCAAGTGGCCATTATTCCCCTCTTCCCTGTTGTTGCCGTCTTGACATTTTTAAAGCTGAAAGACCTGTGTTTCTGGGTTTATCTGTGACCAGAAGAACAATATTTTTTAAATAAATTGCACTTGAGCAGAGTCTTGGGGCAGGAGGCAGGTTATGGAACTGGAAAGTAGCCTGCTGATGTGGCTGGGGCAAGGAAGCTGAACAAAATGAAGTTCTTAGGAACATACCATTGTGTGATGCCAATTCCCACAGATAGGAGGTGAAACTTGTTGGGTCAGGCTATGGGGTGGTCTCAATACATGCAACAAAGGGCAGAGGAGGAGGGTTGTTTGGGGTAGGGAATGCAGCTAAAATAGTAACATGTTTTCTCTTGTTACTGTTGTCAGCTGTCTGTGAAAGGGGTGCATAAGAATAGAATACACTGTGCCAGAGTCTCAGCTGGTGTTAACTGGTGAATTTACAGTTTATATCAGTAGAAGATGTGGCCCTGTTTATTGGTTTTGCATTGCTGCCCTCCAGGACTTTTGGAAAAACCCCATCAAGTGTTAATGTCAGTCATACAGTATTATAGTATCCATGGGACTTATATTTTTTTATTTTTACACTTCATCTAAAGAATTGTGTTGCACACATTTTGATCAATTCTTCACATTAACAGTGATGGGTAGAAGTAAAAACAGACAACCAATGCTAGAGTTTTTTTTGCGGGAGGTTGTTTGCAGTAGATCACATCACATAATCCCAAAAAACCTTTTCACTTATGCTTTTTCTCAGCCACACTTTCTTCCCCCCTATCCAAACATACCATAGATTGTGTCTCAGGGTGAAATCCTGTTTTCATTGAAGTCAATGGTGAAACAAAATTGAACCTGTAGTTTGGAGGCAGGAATTAGGGGGGGAAATCCAGAAAGCTAAACAGGTTGCAGTGACAAAACTAATATGTGTATTTCTGGCTACATGTGAATGTTTACATTTAAGCATACATTTGATAGTTGTTTCAGTTAAATGTTGTATTGCAAAACTCATTCTTACACAGATTTATCCACAGTGCAGCACAAGTAAATGCCAAGATTATATCTACTGAAGACTTCACTGCACAGATCTAATTTACATGGGACGCACACAGATACTACAATGATGGGTGTTATAGAAAACCCTAAGGAAGAGAGATGTCATGCATTTGTGGTTAGGTTGTTACATGCATAGCTGACAAGAGTAAAATGATTATAAGTACTATAAGTGTAAAACTTTTGTTTGTCATGGATAGATTTTTCTTGTCTTTTATCTTGAGATGTTTGCATATTAAGAGTAAATTCAAAACAATTCAATGCAACAGGGTTTTTGCTTCTCAGATGAAACGCACACAATGGGAATTTAGTTATTTGTTTTTGTTTTAATTTTGATTGCATACTACCGATGGAATGAGTGAAGTTTGCAGTGTTTGCACTAGATTGTTATGTTTGCAATAGATTTGTAGTTCTACAGTTTGTTTATATGTTGTTACCAATATCTATCTTTTTCTTCCTCTCTTGAAGACACTTGGCATTTTATAGTAGGTTAATTTTTAAAAATAAATAACTAGATAGTTTTCACTGATATTTCTCAGATTAGCTTCCACTCTATTCTAATTTACTATTTGCATGATTAAATATAATTTGTACTGTAGAGGAAATGAGACATAAGAATAATAAAAAAGAGCAAAATTCACTTAATCTGTTGCTTTTACAGGTTCCTTCCAAAACACTCGATGATGCTCACTACATTGCCTTTCCTTTGTATATTGTAGGGTCTCCGATTTGAGGTAGTTCCATCCTGGTTTAAAGAGACACTTGAGAAGTCATCTTTTGCAGCCCCTTATGAATATGCCATAGAAACAGCAAAGCAGAAGGCACTTGAAGTGGCAAATAGAATGCATCTAGTGAGTCTGTCAGCTATTTCAATAGTCAAATGTTGTGTTTGTGTGGTAGGTGTTATTCTCACTATTTATTACTGTTATGTGCACTTGTAAAGGTAGTAAGTATACAGGTGCATTTACATCCTTTAAGCAAACAGACACATTTTCCCCTATGTTACTATTGTGGCAACTACCTGTTGAAATGGGCTAGACTTGCTAAAAGGAACTCCAGTGCCTTCAGTTTGTGAAAGGCCAAAACAGTGATTACAGACAGCTCTGACAGCAGGCAGAAGCTCTAAATTGAGGTATAATCGCCAAGTCCTGCCAACAGCCAACTATTCAGATTGAGTCTGAGATAGTTAGACTTTGTCCAGGATTTTCAGGCACACGGTGAGCAGAGATGCAATTCTATTTAGGTCCTATGAGGAGATACAGAACTGACCGTCATCGGCATGCCGATGATCCTGTAACCCATCATGCCTTGCAGTCTCTGAGTGGTTTCAAATATTGCTTGAACAAGAAGTGTGACTGGAGTGAGCAGTGTGAGCCTTCATAAATGAAGCAAAAAAACAGCTGCCCAGCACACAGCCCTCTGACCTCTTTCTGAAAACAGTGAACTAAGGCAACTTGGTCAGCCTCTCCACTAGTCCCATAGTTAAGCCAATAGAGCCTTGTGATCAATGTTGTCAAAATCCAGTAATAGATTTATTGGCATCAGCATAGATATTAGACTTCTGCCTACTGCCCTAATGTGCTCCACCACAGTGATTAAGGCTGGTTCTGTGCCACAACCAAGCCTGAAGCCCAACTGATTAGGTTAAAAAAAATCCTTATAGGCTGTCATTTGCTACTGGTGTGGATCTGCAAATATTTCCTTAATGACCTTCCTCTGGAAGGGAGGAATAGAGACTAATCCTTTTCTGAGATAGATTCACATATACTGAATGCGCCCTACCAACACCGTTGCCAAATGACACTGTCTGCCAGCGCAAATATTGAATTATCTCCTATGTAAATGATTACACAGATTCATATCTGTTTCTGTCACTTTCTTTTTCTGACTATGGTGTGATATTAGGGGAGTGGATTTCAAACCTTAACAAGAATATAGTGGACTTTAATTGTGGAATAGTATTAAAAATTTTCCTGCTACTTCATATTTTTCTTAAGTCCATCCAGACGGATTTTGAGCGCTTCCTATGTACAGGATCTAGTTAAGTAGCATATGGATGTAGGTGTACTATTTAAAACTAATTAGTATGTTAGTGCTGTCACTTTCTATTATGATATCAAATCTTACACTATTTCCCAGTACAGTTCCTATTCTCATTTGCTCCATTAACTCTTACCTAATATTTTAAGACTAGAGCCTTCTCTATTTATGAAAACAAGTTGCCATAAGAAGCAGTAAGTTTATATCAACAGTTGCTTCCATCATGAACAATAAATAAATGTAAGTCTTAGCCATGTTACATCGTAAAATGATAAACTGTAGGGTTAGTGTCTGAAATCATCCAAATGAAATGTAGGCAAGCAAAAAATTCTTAACAAGAACACTTTGCAGTTTGAGAGCAGGGAGAGGGAAGAAGGAAAGGGCTGAGAGAATTCTATAAAACCAAACCTTAGAACTCCTTTTAATGGCTGGATGCATTTAAATTCAGGTGGCTGAGGGGTATGCAAGTACACTTAAGGACATCTGAGTAATAACTCTATAAAAATGGCATTGTGGCACTCATGTTTAATGAGTTTCAGTGATTTCCATATCCAATACACTTGGCTTATTACAAAAAAGGTTGTTTTGTAACTGGCAGCCTTGAAACTCAACCGGTGCTTGGAGAGTTGAGTTGGGTTCTAATCTTTCCTGGGTGCACTTCATCATCAATACAAGTTCTGCAGGCAAAATCATACCCTCAGTTATTTCTGCCCACAGTCCTTGCTTTCCCTGGTTTTTCACAGATGTAACTGATTACAATTTTGTTAAGGATGCATAGACTTCAGTTCCCTCCTTGATATATTTAGATCAATACCTTTCAAGTGGTAAAGCTACAGCGTCTTGAGTTGGATATTCTGGGTTTTTTTTTGTTTGATTGTTTGTTTTTTCCCTTTTTTTTGTCTCCTCATCTTTCCAGAAACACCTTAGAACTCCAGATATTGTTATAGGAGCAGACACTATTGTGGTAAGAATTTTCTTGTATTTTAGCAGTAGTTTGAATCATATCTGACCAGTGCCTAAAACTCTCTTGTTGGGGGTTTAACTTCTTAGAAATGTAAAGATGGAAAAGGTCTGACTACTCATCTAGTCCATCCTCCTGTCAATGCAGAATTGTCCCTATGGTATATTTTCTAGTACTTAGACTGGTTTGAAATGTCTCAAATGACAGGGTTTCCACCACTACCTTTATTCTATTTTTTTTTAGACATACTCCCATGTTCCATAATCAGAATCGAGCTTTCTACTATGTTGGAAGAGGCACTCAGTTATTTGACAGCTGTGAGCATCAGGAAACGTACATTGCCTAAGCATTGCCATTTAAGACATTTTTAACAGCCAACACAAATAGCACTCTTACTGGTAGTCTCAGCAAAGAGGGTAAAGAATGAATTATGATAGACACTGAATTAGCCACTCACCTCTGCAGATCCTTCTGGCAGTCACAGGGTGGAGGGGAAGCTTGCACTGATAGTGTGTGCTCTCTTAATAAATAGAAGGCTCAAGTCTCCAAGATTCTTATTTAGTGCTTTTTATCCATAGGTCTCAAAAAGCTTTACAGAGGAGGTCAGTATCATTATATGATACTTAACATGATACTTTTCAGTAGACTGATGTTGCTGGCAGGGCTGGGTGAAATCATGGTTTGAAAAGTCTGTGTGACTGATCTCAATTTCAGCATATTAGAGATACACAGCAGAGTATTTTTCTTTCTATTTCAGACTGTCGGAAAACAGATTCTGGAGAAACCGGTTGATAAACAAGATGCATATAAGATGCTGTCAAGGTTTGTAGTTTTAAATAAGGTTAAATGAGTTAATCAGGCAATTCTACAATCAGGCAATGTTTTCTGCAGCAACTGGAACTGCAAAATTCTATAACATTCACGCACAGAGATGCATAAAAGATAACAATATATATGCTCCGTGGGGCAAGGACCATCTTTTTGTTCTGTGTTTGTACAGTGTGTAGCATAGTGGGGACTTGATCCATAACTGGGACTCCTAGGCAGTACAATAATACAAGATTATAAATAAAATATTATTACAAATTACTACTCTGTACAAGGGATGTGAAATATGGTGTGCTTAGGATCCATCGCTTTGAATTTCCTGATTTGTGTCCTTCCAGAGTCTCAATAACAATGTTGCATTAGTATCATTAGGATAAGTTATTTTACATTTGCATTGCAATTGTTTTATTATTGACTTCCTTAATAATAAAGTTCTTTAGCAGTACAAGCATTTGGTATTGGTCCTTTGCCTCTCCTCAGGTGCGGTTTGCATGATGTGTGTACTAGAAGGAAAACTAATCAGGAATTCCTTTATTTGGAGCCACATTGTAGCTTTTCTTTTTTTTTTTTATAGAAGTACACAATTTACATTGGTGTAATCAAGAGCAAAATTTTTGCCTTTTTTTTACGGTCCTGTTTTATTCTCCTGTCATACATTGGGGTCCTTAAGTCATCTCAGGCTTCTATTTCTCTCCTTTGAATGTAGTTCAATCACTTGAGCTTAATGATGCCCTCTTCCCCATGTTTCAGACTCATTCTGTTGCTTACCATATGTGAGCTATTTCATTAATGCAATTATTTCTTTCTGCAACTCATCACTTTTCATAAGCACCAATTACACAATACTGTAGCCTGTTACCAGGCTAGAACACTTGAATTGATTGTCACTCCATCTCTTAAAGCTCTAATGCTGTTAGGCTGTTATCCTGTCCTGAGGCCTGAAGGAGAAATCAGATTGTATCTCAATCTGAAGAAACCATGTTTGCCTTCCAGGGGCAACTCAGTTACCTACCTTTTTTCCCCTTAAAGGTTTGCAGTTCTGAGATCATGGCAATAAACATTTAAGTAACAGGAAAAAATGTCATCAAAGCGAATCTGTTTGTGCCAGTTTTGTGAGATGTAAGTTTTTAGTGTAAGACAAATATCAAGATTAGAAGTACATAGTAATGATTCATAAACTAAGAAATACTTGCCTACAGTAGTTATGTGTGGGAGGAGTGCAACTCTGGGTTATTCAGGTGGGACCAGTAAGTAGGAGGTTACACAGTCACATTTTCTCAAGGCTGCCATTCTACCATTTTTAGAATAAAATGGTGTCTTTGTTAAAGAATATGTGAAAAGTCTGCTGATCATTCTTTTGTGTGGCAAACTGCCAGTGACATATGACTTATTGAATATGAGCTGATGAAAGAGACAAAGTAATTTAGGAAAAATTCACTAGACGGAACACATGGCCTATGGCTTTCTGGACTCTTTGCTTTGTGGCTCTAATTTAGATTTTGGGCTGATGAATTAGGTTTCTCCATTTGGTGGAGGCATAAAAAGTAATGGTTGTTCACATTCTGCCCTTACTCAATGGTTGCCCAATGAGTAAGGGCAGAATGTGATATTATCAGGAGACCAAACATATCCCGCCAAACTCATGAAGGAGTCTGACTGGAAAAGGTCTTCTGATTTAGTACATAATTTTGCTTGAAATTATACCATGTTTGGTGACTTCCAGAAAATAGTCACTTTTGCACTAAACTTACAAAGATGTTTGTGGATCAGAATTAATATAAACTGTCTTGTGAGTTACATTACTCAAAAAAAAAAAAGTCATCCCAAAACTTCTAAAACAAGCATGGATGTGCAATATATTTGAAATCTTCAGGATAATCCCTGTTGGGGTCATTTTGCATCCAGTGCTAGCAGTGTAAACTCTTGTCTCCTATCTGTGTGCTAATTATCATAATCAGCTACACAAACTTTCAAGGGGCCAGAATGGACAATTTATATTGAGTAGTTTCATGCTCTACAAGTAGTTTACTTCAATGGGACTACCTAGGGTCGGAGGTACTATCTGATATGAGTAAGGGTATCACAATTCAGTGTTAGGATACTATTTTGTAATCAGACTGTCTAAGAAGTTAAGCTGCCTTGCCTCAGTTTACATTGGTTCTGCTTACACATCTATGAACTGTTCTGTTTTTGTTTTTTTTTTTTTTTTTTTTTTTTTTTTAAGTATGTTCAATGTTCCATGCAAAGAGGGTAGTTAACTACTCAGGAAAGTAAAGTCCTTTTCATGACAAAATAAACAATATCAATTCAAGCTTCCTGCACTTTCCTGCCGATATTTCTGAGCCATTCTTTGAAAGCATCATCACTAGGCAGGTGCAAGGACAATTCATTCTCTTTGCTCCTTTGGAGCCTGATTCTGCCACTCTCAGTTCAGTTGAGTGGTACTTTGTTCCATCAATAGCCCAGTTGAAATGAATGGGAATACTGGTGTAGCAAGGAACTAGTATTCCCATTCAGCATGAGGAAAGGTTGTATAACCTAGCCCTTCATGGATTATCTTTTTGCTGAAGCTGCCTATCACGATGTCCTTTATGATGGTGATGATCCTATTTTGCTCATGAGATTGACACTTCTCCTCTGGTATAGTAACATAATAAAACAAAACAAAAATTCTAATTTTACCTCAATATAAATGAACATATTTTAGGCCACTGAACAGCCAGCAGGTGTTAATGTTTTGGGGACACTAAGCATTGAAAGATTCCAATTACTGTATCAATCCTTCTGCACCATTTTGTGTTTTAGCTCTTTACCTTTGTGAAAGAAAACTCAAAACCCTATGTCCTGTGTGTAAGGATACGAACCAGAGCTGGTATTTTTCTGTGGTGTCCATTGGCTTATTTGTGGAACACTCTGTAAACCTGTGAAATAGTAATGCAGTGATGCATTAATGAAGAAGAAAGGGACTTTATAAAACTTACATAGTGACTCTTCATTTTTCCCTCATAGGTTGAGTGGGAAGGAGCACAGTGTCTTTACGGGAGTAGCCATTGTTCACTGCAGCAGTAAAGGTAATTGCAGAGAAGTGTACAGATACCTATGTGGTAAAGTCGTATGTTCTTATAGACATATGTTATCTAATTCTACTCTAATTGTGAAGATGGAACCCTTTCATACAACATCTGATTCTGCCACCCTTTCCCATACTGAGGAGTGGATTATCTGTAATTAAATAAAATGAGCAAACAGTCCTACAAACAAAACACTATGCTGCACATAAAGGTTGATGAGAGAATGAACCATGTGTGACAGATGTTAGTTGGATCACATAATGCATTACTGAAGGGCGCTCAGATATTACGGTGTTAAGAGTGGCATAAGAGCCTATTAAGAATAGAATAGCCACTTCATTGAAATCAGTAGGGCTACTGAAAGAGCCTGATCCAGTACCCACTGAAATCAGTGGGAGTATCTCCCTGCTCACTTCAGCGGACGTTGGATCAGGTCCAGAGTGAACATGAGAAAGGTGGCAGAATCTGATCCATAGTCATTTTCTTGTTGGGCTTTATTCTGGTGAGAATGAAGGGGCTATGTTGTTCAAGTACGGTGAAGATTATCACATGTATGGGTCCTACTTAGTTTCTTAATATCTAGGTTGTAAAGAGAATGGATTTCTAGAAAATTACTTTTCATTATTAACAGCAGTTCTAAAAAAGCCTGTTGGGTGGTAGGTGAAATAATGGTTTGTACATTACCTTTTAACTGTGCAGTCCTGTGTTTGAGATTGACCTGGACCATATTTTGTTTAATAAATAATTAATTAAAATGAGTGGATTTCTGACCAGTAAGAGATTTTTCCATCAAATTATGCTGGACTAATATGGTCTCACTGTTTCCTTGTACTCTCCCATTGGTCTGTCTCTATCCATCTGTTGTCTCGTATCTTATACTTAGATTGTAAGGTCGCAGGAACTGTCTTTGTTTTTGTGTCTGTACAGCACCTAGCACAATAGCGTCCTGGTTCATGACTAGGGCTCCTAGGCAGTATAATACCAATAAGAAATATTATATTAAATATTATAGTATTACCATCATTCCAGACATGGGGTAAAATCCCGGCACCCTTGAACTCGATGGCAAAGCTCCCATTGAGTTCAGTCAAGTCAGGATTTCACTCAGGAAACTCCCAGAAGTATCAGTTTTCTGAAATTTGTCCAAACCTCTTGCCCCTCTCTCTCTGTTTGCAGATGCCATACAACTCCCTGAAAAGCTTTTTTCAGAATAAATGCTTTTACCTTTTAAAAACTAAACCAGTTGTATCGGCAGCCCAGTGCCCATATAAAAAATATGCAGTGGTGGAAGAAACTACTGTAAAAAAGTTGTCAAGCGGCTTTCAAAGGGTTCAGATAAACAGTAATTTAAAAATATAGATATAGATATAGAATCTTCTTTTGACTTTTACAAGCAAGTAAAGAGGAGCGATCTAGTACTATTGACAGTATGACAGCAGATTCCATTTTGTTTGAGTATATGCACTTAAGCCAAAGCAGAATTTGATGAATAAAAATATTCCCCAGAATATTGCAATTAAGAGAGAAGCTTCTGGAGCACACCATTTTTCAGTTAGCAGATCATTAAAAAGCCTGTTACCAAGCATCGTGTTACTGAATGACCATACTACCGGTATCATCTTAAAAGGACATTGTCAATGTATGTTTAATAACTTATGCATAATTGTTTTTACTCACTGTTTGTAACCATCTATGAAATCAGTAAGTTGCTTTATGAGAAATGTTAATGTTTTCCATCACTCACACTGTAGTATTTGGATAAAACTCTTATCTCTGATCCAGACTGCAGTTCTCTGGTGTATTCTGCCAAGAAACTTCCACTGCTGTCAGAATATTAACTAGTGATCTGCACTGCAGATAAGAGGAGAATATTGCTCTTGGTTTGGTAGGGAAGAAGGATGGAAACTTAATGCTCTATCATTAATTAGGGCCTAGTTTGTTACCAGTATATGTATGTAGGGCAGTATGCTTCAGATCCCTTGGAGCAACCCACATGGGCTCTAATTCCAGCACTCAAAGGCATTTTTCCATGCAGCAAAATCCGCACCTAGTTCTGCACAACTCTGCATTGCAGGTTGCTCACAACCAGCTTCCAGCTACAAAAACCAAAAGTGCTTGTGTCGGCTTAAAGGGGGTATTGCAACTCTGCACTACTCTTTACTGCTGCAGAGGAAATGATAGGATAAAAGGGATTGCTGGATGACAGAGACTGCTTATATGTACTGCTGCAGTTTTATGCTGTGACACATTGCTAGGTATAATGGCATTCAGAATGTTAGCGGGGTGACTACTGCATTTCTTTTACTCTGTTTTTCATTGCATGTCCACGGAATCTGATTTTGAGCTAGGCAGATTTCTTGCCAGTGCAGGCAATCAACCAGGAGTCATGCAATGACAGAATTAATTCTGTGAGCATTCCATAAAGGGGGAATAAGCTCCTCCGATCCAAATTTTGTCCTACTATGATCTCTCTCTCCCTCTCCACCTGGGTAGATAGTTACATGCTGTGACTCTGCAGAATTAGACAATGTGGGGTTTTACTCACTTTGGCTTTCTTGAATAGATATTCCACTGAATTTGGGAGTAAGCCCTTTTCTTGCTTACTCCTGGGGGAATTCTGCACCAAAAAATAAAAAATTCTGAGCACAATATTTTAAAATTCTGCATATTTTTTGTCAAAATAACACAATATAATCAAGCTGGTTTCAATTATTTTGGTAATTTATTTAAACTACAGTACAATGGATGGAGAATGGGAATGAGGAGCATTGGAGGAAATCACCAAGCCCCTTTGTCTAATAGTAATGTAGCTAGTATTGACCCTTTACTTCTAGTTATTAGTCAACAAATTTATGCAGCCATGTGTTCAGTGTTACATCATAGGCAACTGAAGGGGAAGTGAGGACTGGAGACTCAAACTCACAATTTTTACTGGCTACTGACCATCTTCAAAAAGGTCAGTAGCAAACAGTTCATGGAGCACATTTTGATAGGAAACTTTTTCAGTCCAAACATTTAGACCAGTTCTAATCACTAAAGCACCACACTGTCCTTTACAATACGGCTCTGGCAATGTAAAGGAGCCTTAAAATTTTTACACCTGTTTTATACTCCTGGGGGAATGCCCTAAGAACAATGGGAACAATTCACTAAGCAGACAGGCTGCTGCACTCTGCTCTGCCTGAGGGAACAGAGCCTGCCCCATGCCTACCTCTTCAGAAACACCCCAAAGCCCTGCCCCTCCACACCGAGCATGCTGTAGTAGCGAGTGCCCAGCCCTCACGCACGAGTGCCCAGCCCCCTCCACATGGTGATGTATGTGTCTACCAGTTGCTCTGGGTGCCCAAACCAACCTGCCTGCATTGTGGGGGATGGGGCGCATGACCTCTCTTGCGGCTTCCCTTTGCTTCTCCATCAGAAGTCCTTTTTCTGCAGGGAAGCAAAAAAATCTGTGGGGTCCATGAATTCTGCGCAAACACAGTGACGCAGAATCCCCCCAGGAGTAGCATATCTATACAGGAATCTGGACCTTTCACTGACAAAGGCCATGAATGAGGGAAGCAAGGAAGTAGGTCAGATTTTTGAGACCACTAACCTTAAAAGCATCTCTTTTAAATACAGGAAATCTTTTAAATCCTAAAATAGAATGAAAAGTCTGTTTGTATAAGTTTTCTTGGGTGAACAATGTCAGTTGCAGAGTATTCAAAAGGTAAACCATTTATCACGATTTATTTTATCCTTTAGTCTCATTACTTTCATGTTACAATTTTTTGTTTACAATGGGATTTTTTGTTGTAGATAATCATCTGGAGACTGAAGTCACTGATTTCTATGAAGAGACAAAAGTTAAATTTGCTGAGCTATCTGAGGAGCTTTTATGGGAATATATTCACAGTGGAGAACCAATGTAAGTAGGCTGCTGAAGGCAGCACATCTAACTTGAGTATAGGCCTTAAGACATTGTTGACCTCAGATACGAAGGAAGCAGTATGCCATGTCTTTGTGGGAAATTGGCCGTGTGTATATGCAGTCGTTGATGTGCTGTGTGAAACAAAAAGGAAGTTAATGTTGGATTCACAACATTGACTAGGATTTGAATTCCCAGGGTGGAAACTCTGAACCCAACCTTTTTAAAACTGCTAGCAGTCTTTTTTTCAATAGCCCCTTAATTTGAAATCTCAGGCAATGGATGACACAATGGAATTGTGCAGTATTCTGTTTTAGGCCCAATTTTGGTTTAATTATTGCCTGATCCCAATGAAGATAATTGGAACCCATCTACTGACTTCAGTGAGCAATGAAACAGATTGTTAGTGAGCAAAGAATTAGGCCCTATATGAATATAGTATGGAAAGTTGGAAGAGCCTTAGCTTATCCTTACACTTACATTGAACTCTGTCCTGCATTCTGTGAGGCACTTTCAACTCCTACTGAAGTCAGTTGGTGTTTAGGACATGCAGCAGCTCACAGTAGTGAGGATATAGAGCCAGTTATCATTGCATGTTCCAGTTATGAATGCACTATCTAGAGCAGAACTCTTACAAAGCAGAGAAAACACTTTCTGCCTTGCATTTGTTGTGTATTAATCAGCACTAATAAATGTCCATGTTGAACTAACAGCTTAATCAAGATATACAGAGAGCGGGAAGGAGTCTTTGCTGAGATTTATCTATGAGATGAATCTTTAACAGCTACAGCTTCTACCTGTAAACCAATAATGGGGCAGGGGCTGCTGAAGGGACTGTAATGTTAGAGCTTCTCATCTCTATGGAAAACTGTGCAAACACATACAGAATCAATACAGAAGTGGCTGCACTGCCTTCAGTGGAAGGCAGGCCTGGAATTAGCAGGGTTACTGTAGGTAAGGGTTATGGTGTGCAAATTACATGGGGAAATTGACAAACTATTCCCACATTAGTTTGACTCTAGCCAGTGCTACTGGGGAGGGGTAGGTAATAAAAAAACCCACTAGACTGTAAACCTAATTTAAAAAAATACAGTAGAAGGTTTATATTGCTACAGAGAAAGATGAAAGTTTTTCTGTTGTATGGATTTGTACTCGTCATGATTCATAGATTCCAAGGCCAGAGTGGACCACTGTGATTATCCAGTCTGACCTCCTGTGTAACATAGGCCATAGAACTTCCCCAAAATAATTCCTAGAGCAGATCTTCTAGAAAAACACCCAATCTTGATTTTAAAATTGCCAGTGATGGAGAATCTACCCACAACCCTTAGTAAGTCGTTCCAATGGTTGATTACCCTTACTGTTAAAACATGCATCTTATTTCCAGTCTGAATTTGTTTAGCTTCAACTTCCAAACCATGGTTCATGTTTTACCGTTTTATGTTGGACTGAAGAGTCTATTATCAAATATTTATTCCCCATCTAGGTACTTAAAGACTGTAATCAAGTCACCTCTTCTCTTTGTTAAGCTGAATAAATTGAGCTCCTTGAGTCTATCACTATAAGGCATGTTTTCCACTCCTTTAATAATTCTCATGCCTCTTCTCTGAACCATCTCTAAATTATCAACATGCTTCTTGAATTGGGGACACCAAATCTGAAAACAGTATTCCAGTAATGGTTACACCAATACCAAATCGTATAACCTCCCTGCTCCTACTCGAGATTCCCGTTCATCTATCTCAGGATTGTATTAGTCCTTTTGGCAGCTGATTATTCACCACAACCTCCAAATCTTTTCCAGTGTCATGGCTTCCCAGGATAGAGTCCCCCACCCTGTTAGCATGGCCTGCATTCTTTGTTCCTAGATGTATACATTTACATTTAACCATATTTAAAATGCATATTATTTGCTTGTGCTCAGCTTACCAAACAATCCAGATCACTCTGTATCAGTGAACTGTCCTCTTTGTTATTTACCACTCCCCCAATTTTTGTGTCATCTTCAAACTTTGAGTGATGGTTTTATGTTTTCTTCTAGGACATTGATATAAATGTTAGAGTGTAGGGCCAAGAACTGATTTCTGTGGAACCCTACTACAAACACACCTACTTGATACCAATTCCCCATTTACAGTTACATTTTGATGTCTGTCAGTTAGACAGCTTTTAATCTGTTTTAATGTGCTCCATGTTCATTTTATATTATTCTAAATATTTAATCAAAATGTCACGCAGTACTAAGTCAAACACCTTGCATCAGCACTATTGTGTTCATCAACCAAAATTGTAATTAATTAACTTTGACATGGGTTGAGTAAAATCCTAAACAATTGCACTTTAACTAGAGGTAGTTTTTTGTCTCAAAAGTGTGATCTGTTTGTTTTTTATTCTTCTGGGGAAAGTCATACCATTCAGGTAATGGAGTCTTTCATCTCCAAGTCAGTGTGGGCTGAACCCTCTGGTGGTGCGGGGTTGAAAAGTCTTTCTGGTGCTGAGACTCTTCTAAATAATGTAATAGGCTTATTGACAGCTCTGAAAAGAGCAGCATTGCTGTGCTGTGGAGAAAGCTTTTTCCAGCCATCTTTGGATACATGGAATATCGCACAACGAGGCATCTTGTAGAATGTAAAAAGTGGGAGGGAAATAAGAGATGAACCTTCTTGATTTGGAGAATAACCCTTCATATTTCTAAATCAACTGGGTCATTTTGTTTTATTCAGCTGACATTTGTAAATTCATTTTAATCTGTGAATGCCATTAACATTCCCTCGAGAGACAAGATGTTAAATAAAATTGAACCTAGCACAGATCCTTATTCTTTACAGTCCATCAACCAGTATCAGGCCTTGTGTGTCCTCCCTTTTATCCAAGCCTACTTGAATGAGGTTTTCAGGAAGATTTCAGGAGACACTTAAATGCTTTATTAAAATTCAGTTGTATTAGGTTTGCCATGTTCCCTCTTCTTCTCCCTCCACTTCCCCTCCCCCACACCCTCCACTAATTAGCCAGCATTCTTAGAATGTCATGAGTGTTCATGGAGACAAGTGGGTTTGTATAAAATTTAACTAGCACTAATCAGTCCAAGGCTTGGGAAGTGAGAAATCTAAAGAAGCTATGGCGCTTACACATTATGTATCTATAAAAGAATTGCCAGATCTGTCACGTCGCCCAGTACTGCATGATTTTGTAATCCATTATATTACATATACTCTACACCCAGCTATGGACCAGATCATTGGTCCCTGCTCCACCCCCCTTCAGCTACCTCTGCAATACCATGCCCAGGAAACTGTAGAACCAGCTCTATACAACTAGGTCTACACAATCTATTCCAGCCCTCTGCTAGCATAGGAGCTGTGTTGAAGGTAAAAGGGTAAGTCTCCAGAGTGCCCTCTGGGGTTGTTACTTTTAGCCTAAGTAAGTTAGTGCGGCCTCAGAGCTTGTGTTAGGAGCTGAGCTGGCCTCCAGCTGACTCTGAGATTGGGAGAATGCAAAGGTGATTTTGAGCTATATTTGTCCCAGTCCTCTAGGGTGCTGCAATAAGCATAGCTCAGCTGGATCTGAAGATTTGGCTCCATAACTCTTAATTTCCGGTCTTATGTTTAAAACCTCAACCCTCATGTTACATTGGCCTTGCTTTTGGCTAATAATAATAATTAATAATATAATCACATTTAGTAGGATAAGAGGAACCAATGTAAATTTGACCCAAACAGGAATAATTAAATCTAGGGCAGGAGCAATTTGTTACAAAAAATAAGGTGATCACTTGGGCTGTGTGGGGAAAAAAATAATTTTTTTTAGAGTACAGATTAGCAGAGAAATTCCCAGTATGCTTTTGGGAACTCTGATTTAGTGAACTAATCTCCCTTGAGTATGCAGCTGATGAGATTTGAGGGGCAAACTACAGTAACTCCTCACTTAAAGTCGTCCTGGTTAACATTGTTTCGTTGTTACGTTGCTGATCAATTAGGGAACATGCTCGTTTAAAGTTGTGTAATGCTCCCTTCTAACATCCTTTGGCAGCCGGCTGCTTTGTCTACTGCTTGCAGGAAGAGCAGCCCGTTGCAGCTAGCTGGTGGGGGCTTGGAACCAGGGTGGACCTGCAGCCCCCATATCAGCTCACCCTATTAGCTCCCCGCTCCCCTAAGTTCACTGTGCAGCAGCTGCCTGCAGTTCAGCTGTGTCCCTCCCCCCACTGCCATGTGCTGCTCCTGCCCTCTGCCTTGGAGCTGCTCCCCGAGACTCATGCTTGCTGTGTGGTGGGGAGGGAAGGAAGAGGGGGGCTAATGTCAGGGTGTCCCCCTCCCCCCTGCTCCTGCACCCTGCTTACCCCATCTTCCATAGAGCAGCGGGGACACACCAGGGCTCAGGACAGAGGGAGCTTGCAGCAGCTGCTGTCTCAGCAAGCTGATCTAATTAACAAGGCAGTGTACTTAAAGGGGAATGCGCATATCTCCCTCCATTCCTGCTGCTTTGTAAAGTGAGAGAGTTAACCCTCGAGGGCTCAGCCAATTGCTAGTTCATCATTTAGCAGTAAAGGAAATATCCCACCCTCTGACTCCTCCACCTCAACCAAGCTTGGTGAAAAAAATTTCCCTGGAACCTAACCCCCTCATTTACATTAATTCTTATGGGGAAATTGGATTCGCTTAACATCGTTTTGCTTAAAGTTGCATTTTTCAAAAACGTAACTACAACGTTAAGTGAGGAGTTACTGTATTGGATTTTTAGATAGAATTTAAGGCTTAGAATGAAAAATCCAGGTGTTGTGATTATGGCTTCTGGAAGAGTGAGAGAGCATTGCTGAAGCACAGCTGCAGCAGAACTGCTGCTGGGAGGAATCGGACAGCACATGTTAGCTGTTCTTTCTGCTACCAGACTCTTGTTAATTCACAGCGAGAGATCCAGGTGGGCTTCTGGGGGTCAAAAGTTCACATAAACTATTCTGCTCCTGTCTGAGACAGATCAGACTGAAAACTGTATACCTGAGAGGA